AGGCGGTAAGGGGAGGGCAGAGGGAGGGGGAAAAAAAAAAGAACCAAGAGACTCATGTAATGGTACAAGATCCCAATGATGTATGTAAATGTATTTTATACCTAAAATGTACCAATAAACTTAATGGTAGGAAAAAAAAAGAAAACCAGACCTAAAAATGTTATAAAAAAAGCCACAAATTAAACAAAAAGGGAAATAATAAATTTACATAGAAATTAATAGAGGAAAGATATTTAAAAGATCAATAAAATCAAAGGTTCATTCTTTGATTAAAACTAAAAAACATATAACTACTAGTGAAATCATGTGAGAAAATGTAGAAAGAAATAGTTAATGTCTGGAATGAAAGGCACTACAGATTCAGCAGACATTAATTGAATAATTTTATGATAATGAGTTTGAAAATTTAGATAAAAATCTCACTTTCTAGAAAACCCTAACCAAGACCAAAACAAAAAAGTCTGAATGATTCTAGATCTATTTTAAAAAATTAACAATTTATAATCTTTAAACATAACAACAACTGTGGGCCTGAATTCTTGCATTGCTTTACCACTGAATTAAATCAATGGGTAAAAATTAAAGGGCTTTATTTTGAAATTGAAAACATGGTCAATATATAAATATTGTTTATTAAGATTTAGAAAATAAAATGTAAAAATAGATATAAACGTACTCATTTTTACCAAAAGATAAGAATGTTCACAACAGCAGTACCCAAAATTGCCCTAAACTGAAAGAAAAAAAAAAACTAAATGTACTTCAACACTGTAGTATATCAAATGCCATACAAACCGAAATTAAACTCCACCTACAGGCAACAAAATGAATGTCATAAGTATACTGAAAGAAACCAGCCCAGACATATGATTCCATTTATACAATTTTAAAAATCAAATTATTTTATACACTATATAGACACAGACTTAAAGTCATCAAACTATCAAGAAATGCAAAGAAGGAGAATGCCAAAAATAACCAAAATAACTACCTTTTGAGAAAGAAGTAGAAAGCAAGAAGGATAAGATGAATGCTGCTAGGATCCCAGCTATACTCTATTTCTGGGTAGGGGGTAATTACATGGGTGCTCACTATGTGAGAATTCACTAAGCTTCATATTTATGTTCTGCGTATTTATTCTGTGTATTTTCTGAATATGTGCCGTACTCACAATTAAAAAGATTAACCAAAATAAATGAGTAAACAAATTACAAATAAACAAATTACCCAAATGAAGAGACCTAAATGTAAGCCTTAGTTTTTCATGAAAATGAGAGTATAAGTGTGATCTTACTTAATTTTAATACATTTAACCATTATGATGAGCTATGTAAATACTGTATAATAACTTTAAATATAGTAAGATATAATGCACCCACACATGGTATATAAGAAATGCAATTAATAAACAGTAAACAGCTGTTATTTGAGGAGTTGTTGCTTTTACATACCTCGAGAAGTCCTGACAAGTACTTCACACAAATTTCAAGTGGCTTTGTAGAAGGAGAATGTGAACTCCATCCTGGAAATGCAGTGAGGTGAGCCATCCCCCTTAAAGTCCGCTCCAGGGAAGGCAGCCCATAGAAATGAGGAGCATCTGTGATCCTCAGACACTGGAGCAGTTTTAGACCCAGCTGGGTTTGGAAGACATAAAGAAGTTCCAAGCATTTCCTAAGCATGTAAAAGGAAGAAAATCAATCAAAGAACAAGCATAATGGGCTTAATAAGCCATCTTACTGGATGTAGAAAGCTACTTAAGACATATTAGAAGTAGGAACCAGACAAAATAGAAGAAAATGTTCTCTCTGAAAACAAGACTTTTCAAGGGAAACATAACAAAAGTACCAACTAAAGTATGTGATGTCAAATATAACTAAAAATTATATGAAAAAATATATAAATGTTGCCACCTAATAGTGAAAAAGTTGAAATAAAAAAACTGAACAAATTTTGAGTATAGGTGGTATATAGTAAGATTATATGTAACCCATTTAGTGTCATGCAAAACTTTAATTTTCAATTAACTATACTGTCTTTCACATGTACAACTAAAAAGAAAAGAATGGTTTAATGAGTTTAACATATAATTAAGAAAAACAGTGAGATTAGAAGATCAAGAGAATATTTTCTATTAGAAAACAGAATTCCTAAAATTAAGCAGCTCATAATGGGTTCAAATAATTCACAGAAGATAATAATTTACATAACAAAATACTGAACAAAATGTGAAATTTCTTCAATTTTTTCAGATAAGTAGACTCAAAAATTGATAACTATTTACTACATTATTACCTATCCATCAAGTATGGTATACGATTTTTTTAGGATCATAATTTTATATACTCATCATCCAACTACTTTTAAATTATTTTAGAAACAAAAATCTTAGATCCTGAATGTCACTTAAGTTGACTTCCTTACAGTTCAATAAAAAATGAATCTAATTAATACTATTAAAATGTTTTTGCTGGGCCAGGGATTTAGCTCAAGGGCTGGGGATTTAGCTCAGTGGTTCTGCCACCTGCCTTGCAAGAGCCAAGGACCCGAGTTCAATCCCCGGTACCAAAAACAAACAAGCAGAAAAAGTTTTTGCTTTCTTTTAACATTTAACATACATAAATAAATCATTCTCACTACTCTTCTTACCTTAATCACTTCAGAAAGAAAACTAAACTACAGGGATTGGTGCCATTCCAATTGTCTAACCTGTGGCATACCTTTTACCTGCAAACATTCCCCAAGCTCCATAGAGAAAAATGAAATTATCAGAAATCAACACGTTCAACATCCTTCTTCCATATTTACTTTCTTACCTATTTTATTTAGACAGTGGTACCTCGGTTCACGAATGCTTTTGTTTGCAAACAATTTGGTTCTCAAAAGCATCTGACAAAATTTTGTTTTTGTTTGCAAACTCTGCATCAGGTGACAAACATAACCACGGCCATCTTTCCCACACAAACATGAATGTGGCCATCTTTTCCAAAATTGTAGAACAAATTAAGTTCATGAACCAAGGTACCACTGTACTTTTATCTCTTTATCCCATATTATTTTCAATACACTGGTCATTCAATTCTGTTTCTCTTTTGAAAGTACATCTCTTTTCCATCCCTCATGTTCTTATCATGTAGCTCATTACAAATGTCATGCATGTTTGGGATCAAGTCTTTGCCTCTAGCAAGCTTTTGGGATCTAAGTACAAGATGAGGAATGTCTTTCTGCTTTCTAGAAAGTGTCATTCTTAGGAAATCTGATCAACAGATGAATGGATACAGAAAATGTGATATATTTACACAAATGGAGTTTCCTTTGTGGAAAAATGGATGTACCCTGAGACCATAATGTTAAGTGAAATAAATCAGACATGCAAGTATCAATATCATGGTTTCTCTTATATGAGAAACCCAAAGTATAAATAATTTAAAGGACAAATTAGTGATGGATAATAGGAATCAGAGAGACATCTTTTGAAAATAGAAAAGGGATCTCGGGAGGGAGAGAAGAGGAAGGAGAAGTAAAAAGAATTAAGATGTATTACACACATATACCAACACTCCATGATGAATGTAATCACTTTGCACCACAACTATGCATTAGTAAAAGATTTTTTTTTTAAAAAAAAAGGCCTGCCTTTATCTCATCTAATCTGAAACTCATCCTGGGTTAAATCCACTATTGGGGAACATGTGTTGAAAACATACAGAGGTGGGCCGGGAATTTAGCTCAGTGGTTCCAGCACCTGCCTCGCAAGAGCAAGGACCCAGTTTGATCCCTGGTATCAAAAAAATAAATAAATAAATAAAAGAAAACATACAGAGGTAAGAGCTTTAGCTCCTACTATCTGAAACAATTGGTAAGAACAAAAAGTAGACTAGTCTAAAAGCTCAGGAAAAAAGCTTGAGAGGTGAAATGTTTTGGTAGATAATTTAACCACATAGAATGAGATTAAGATAAGAAAATAGCAAAATTCACAAATAAGTACAACTTAAGAAACTCTTATATAACCAATAGGTCACAAACAAATCACTAAGGAAATACTTTGAGAAAAATGAAAATGAAAGTACAATATACCCAAACCCAGAGGATCCAATAAAAGCAGTGAGTAGAAGGATATTTATATCTATAAACAACTACATCAAAGAAATATCTAAAATCAATATTCTAACTCTATATTATAAAGAAACAAAAACTAAAACAAAATAACAGAAGCAAATAAAAAAAATTAGAACAGAAATAAATGAAATACAGAAAATAGAAAAGTAAATAAGAAGCTGAATCTTTGAAGACATTAGTAAAACTGATAAACCTATAGCTAGACTGAAAAAGATAAAAAAGTACTCAAATTATTAAACTCTTAAACGAAAGCGAGGACATCACTATTGACAAAATTAAAAGAACTATAAAGGTATACTATGAACAAGTTAGATAATTTATTGAAAATATGCAAATTATAAAAAAAAAAGAGAAAATCTGAACAGGCCTATGGCAAGTAAATAGATTTAGCCAATAATCAAATCTTCCCAAATAATGAAAACTCTAAGACCAGACAACTTCACTGATAAATTCTAAAAAACAGCAAGATCCTACTTCAAAAACAGGAAACTTTTTAACCAGTCCTCGTCAGTAGATCATAATAAGACTCCTCACTTTACAGGGTTCCTGTCTCATACCATGAAGGGAGAAATGCTACAAAGAAAGACCAAGAAGAATGTTCAAATGGGCATGCCTTATTGGGTTTCCAACCTAGTTCATTAACAATCATGTCTATGCAAGTCTCCATAAAAACCCAAAAGGACTTCTGGATAGCTGAACAAGTGCAGATTCCTGAAAGTGGCACATCCAGACATCTACACTTTACCCTGTGCATCTCTTCATCTGTACGCTTTGTCACATCCTTTATAATAAATCAGGTAAGTGTATACGAGTTCGGTGAGCCAATCGTGGCATATTAATCACCCAAGGAGAGGGCTGTTGCAAACCCAGTTTATAGCCAGTGGACATAAGAACTGGTAAAACAACCTGGGCCTTCTAGCTGGCATGTGTAGTTGGGGGTGAGTGGGGGACTCTTGGAACTGAGCCCTCAACATGTTGAATTGGATACTCTTTCCAGAAGGAGAATATCAGAATTTAATTTGAATCAGACAACACACAGATGTTGTACACAGTTAAAGAACTGTTTGCTTGCTAGTGGAGAGAAATGCATGTATCTGGTGTCAAATGTCTTCTGTGTTGACTGGGTGTAAGAGCAGAGGAAAAATAGACACTTCAATTTTCTCCCTAACACTGTGTGTGTGTGTGTGTGTGTGTGTGTGTGTGTGTGTGTGTGTAAGAGATTGAGAAGGTACATTCAAGCTACACCAGAGATTCAAATGAAATATAGATTAATTGTAACTGATTAGTACTTATGCATTTTTATCTTAATTTTAAAGAAATGAGAAGTAAAACACTGAAAAATCAGAAGAAAACTAGGTTCAGTATAAATGTCCCCAAACCTTCAATGATACAAATAGTACCTGTCAGTAACTGCCATAAAACTGAGCAGTAAGGTATTGAAAAGAGCAATCAGTTCTTTTTGCAGTTGTTGTCTGACAGCAGTCCGGATGTCATCTGTTTCTTCTCGTGCCTGTGACTCTGTCAGAACCAGCAGGTCTAACAGGGGGTTTGGATTCTAAAAAGTGAAATTTAAAAAAAATATATTTACTCTCTAATTGAATTATGTGCTGTTTTCTATAAAGATTTTTGTTACAAACTGTTCTGGATTAACTAAGTTAATTACTTAAACAGTAGGTCTGGGCTCTAACTGCATTAATAAAGATGTTCTAAACTGAACAGCTGCTTAATGTGTTACCTCAACAAACAGAAAGGAAATCTATTATAAAAAATGGAGGAAAATAGAAGCACAACAAGACAAATAAAATCACACATAATCATCCTTCACAGAGATCCACATTGGTACACATTATCCTTTCCATTTCTGTAAGTGGAAATATAAACAGAATTATATAAACAAATCTGATATTAAATTCTACATCAAGTCCCCTAAAAGCAGGAGTCCTGTTTTCTACAGTACAGGGTTGGGTTGCAGGAGGCACACAATAAGCATTTTGAAGTGAATCTATGAATTCTGAATAAAATGGTTGAATAGAAGTCTCCATCATGTTATTCTGAGGGTGAGAAGAGCTAAGAATTAAAAAGGATAAACTATATTCCAAAGAGAGAAAGCCCTCTGAGAATCAAGAGTGACAGGAAAGCTAAGAAGTATGGAAAAACAGAGAGCCAACATAGAGAAAAGTATGAAGCAGTATGCAATGCTAACTCTGGCTTGGTAGGGGAACTCCCACTGCAACCATAAGCCTCTTAGTTTATTCCACATTATTACTGAACTTTTCTATTATTACTGGTGATATAGCTCTTGCTTTTCTTTTTTACTGTATTTCAATATCTGGTTTGTCTGTCTGTTGTCACTGTTACCATGGTTTATTTTCTTCTCTCTAAGTAATATAGAGGATCAAGTCATCACCCCCAGATAAAAGTGGAAGATATTCCAATAGATGTATAAATCTCAACCTAGAAACACAAAAAATATCAAAAAACAAGTCAACATGACTGCTCCAAAGTTTAATAACTCTTCAATAACTGAATTCAAACATCTCAAAATGGATGAAATGCTGGACAAAGAATTCGAAAGGTTGACATTTATCAAGGATTTCAAAGAGGACAAAAAAAACCCAGCTGAATAAATTGAGGAAAGCAATGCATGATGTGAAGGAGGAATTCAGCAAAGAGAGACTGTGAAAAAGAACCAACCAGAAATCCTGGAAATAAGCTCTCCAAATCAAATCAAAGTCTCAGTAGAAAACCTCACAAATAGATTGGATGAAACAGAAGACAGAATTTCAGAGCTTGCAGACAAGACTGATGAATTATCAAATAGTAATAAAGAAAAAACAAATTACAAACAAAACATCCAAGAAACCTAAGATACAACTGAAAGACCAAATTATGAATTTCAGGTACAGAAACCGGTGCCAAGGTATAGACTATGGGTGTGGAAAATTTATTGAGTGAAATAATAGCAGAAAAATTCCCAAATCTTGGGAAACAAATGGGCATCCAGATATAGGTGGCATTTAGAATCCCAAACAGAAAAGAATAGACTAGAAAAGAATCTTCACGCATCGCATCATATTTAAACTGCCAAGATATACAACAAGGAAAGAATACTGAAAGCTGTAAGAAAGAAACATCAAGTCATTTATAAAGGCAAACCCATCAGAATAAAAACAGATTATTCATCAGAAATGCTAATGACCAGAAGGGCATGAAATGATGTATTTCAGGTGTGAAAATAAAATAACATAGATACAGCAAATCAATCCTAAAAAATCTAAGAAGATACAAAGACTATTCAAGACAAGCATGAAGATATTCACAACCACTAAGCCATCCCTGCAGATCATACTTTAAAGAGATCAAAAACACAGAAGAGGAAGTGTAGATAAGCAAATGAGAATTAGGAAAGAATCCAACATTATAAGAACAACAAAATAACATACCTTTCAATAATGACTCTTTATATAAGTGGTCTTAATTCTCCAATTAAGACACAGACTGGGAGATTAGATTAAACAAGACACAACCCTTTCCTGACTTTAAGAAACATACCTCACTGGCAGATAAACACAGACTGACAGTGAAAGAACGGAAAAACATATTCCATCCAAATGGAATCCAAAAGCAAGCAGGAGTAGTTCCACCTGACAAAGCAAACCTCAAGTCAAAATGAATCAAAAAAGACAAAGAAAGTCACTATATATCGGTAAAGGGAACAATCTACCAAGAATATGATTGTAAATATATGCGCTAAATGTAAATATATACAACTTCATAAAGAAATCCTACTCACTAAAAAGGGACAGATAGGCCCCAATATAATAATAGTGGATTCTGCTCAGGATCTTCCCCAAAGAATTAAAAGAATCATACCACAGTGATATATGTGCACCCATGTTCATAGCAGCACAGTTTGTAATAGCTAAAACT